TCATCTAACTATCTATCATCTATCGTCTGTCTGTCTGTCTGTCTGTCTGTCTGTCTGTCTATCTTCTATCTATCATCCCTCTCTATCTCTATTTATCCATCCATCCATCATCTCTCTCTCTAATCTTTCCCTATCCCCACTCTGTGTGTCTGTGTGTGTCTGTGTGTGTGTGTGTGTGTGTGTGTGTGTGTGTGTGTGTGTGTGTATAAACAGACATGTTTTTTTCATCTTTCAACTATCATGGGAATTGATTAGATTCCCATTATCATGGGAACTAGGCTAGACTTCCGAAATGTTTGTTCAACTGCACTTCTGAAATTGTATCAGCTACTTCCCACGTAGTTTCCATTAAGGCACCAGCCTTTGACATTTGCTGCTTAAAGAACAAAAGCCACAATTCTCAGGACAGCTGTATTTGGAACCCTAGAGAATCCTTTCTATTTTGGCCACACTTGCAAACAAGTGTGTAATTGTATGGTCCTGGCATACACAGCAATCTGCCTCCCAACTGCCCACTTACAAGGAAGTCCGGCCCTTAACTTTGTTCTGCCATACAGGTGATGATGCCTCCCACTTACCTGTAGACGACTGCTTCAGTTTCTCGTTCTTCTTTTTCCTCCACTTCCATGGTTTGAAAATCCTGCCCAACGTGGCTAGCTTGCTATTCCTTCGGACAGGAGGAGTTCGGATCCCTGAGACCAGATATTCAGAACGCACGGCGGGGGATTGATCCATTTCCTCTGAGAGAAAGGAGTGAGAGAAAACAATGTTAGCGGTGAAGGAAAGGAAAACATCTCCAAGAGATTGAAGGACGGTTACGCTTGATGTTGCGAAGGACAGGGTTTTTTTGTCATTTTGCAGAAAAGTAATGCTTAATTGGGTTCCTATGTCGGAACATACAAAGGAAAAGGAAAAGAAAAAAAGCTGGAGTTAACTCCCAATCCTATTAAATAAGTAAAAGTAGCTCATTTGGCATTAATGGGAGCATTTATTTTCTTCTGTCAATAGCAGACATACTATGCAATCTATCTCTGGTTGAAGTTCCCCGTTCTCTACTAAAGTTCCAATAGGTCACTCTGTATCTGTGATGGCGAACCTATGGCATGTGGGCCACAGATGGCACACGGACCCCTCTCTGCGGGCACATGAGCCATCACCCAGCTCACTCCACCTCCCACTGGCCAGATGATTTTTGGATCACTGCTGCTCATGCAGACTGGTTCACTCAAATCGGTAGCAGAAAACTGCCACCCAGAGGTGTATTCAGCCGGTTTGGACCAGTTCGCCCCAACTCCAAAACGTCCTATGTAGCCTCCTTTTTGATGCCACGCCAGGGGTGGGTTCCTGCCAGTTCTGACCTCTTCTATAGAGTATCTTTTTACTTATTTATTTAATTTGTATGGACATTTATCTCACATATGTGACTCTAAGCAGCTTATAGTAAAAACTAGAAAAACTACATGAAATACAAGCCATACAAAATCTAAAAACACAGCAGATGAGCATCATGCCTGACAAAAAAAAACCCTACATTTACCATAATTAAAATATAGAGAAGGATATGTGTCTATGTATATGTCCTTTCTGTCATAATACATCTTGTGGGCTTCCAAAATCTAATAAAATCCCAGCACATGGCATCAGAAGAAAGTTGCAATTACAGACATTTTTGTTTTGGTTTTTTTTCCCCCTCTTTTGATGTTTTCTTGTTGTGCAATTTTTTTTCATTCTCTTTGGTGATTGATCATTTTTATGTTATGCATGTTTGTTTGAAAATGGATTAATAAAACAGGGCATCATGGAAAATAAGAAGACAGAGACAGCTTTTTTCGTGAGGTTTTTTTCCCCCAGATGAAGAAACCAGTGAGGTTGCCACAGGATAGAGATGCAGAACAGGAAAAACAAAAACACAGGATGGCATCTTGTGTAATTTGGCAAGAGCAAAAGAAAAGGAAAAAATGCCAAAACATTTCAAACTAATCCAAAGTCTCTCTGACCTAATGTGGTAGAAAAACAAGTCACTTTTGTAGGGTAGATAATTTAGCCCAAGATTAGCATAACTCTGACATATTAAGCTAAAATTTCATACAAGTCTAGACACAACATTGGGATAGACGGTATTTAAAAAGGTGCAAAGACACACAAGTTCGAGTGTAACCTCTTCCTTACAAATAAGTTGTTAAGGCTTCAACTA